CACATACTGGCCCACTGACACCAACAAAATACCCGACCTTCTCGACTTCTTTATAACTAAAAATATCTCACCAAGACACGTCCAGATCAACTCCTCGGCTGATCTCTCCTCTGATCATTCTCCCGTGGTGGCAACAGTCAGTTCAACAATCATCGAGAATACATCTAATGGCTCCATTCACAACCAACACACCAACTGGCAGCTCTTCAGAGAAGTCTTTACACACTCAACCTCAGCCCTCACCCCACTAAAAACAAAGGAAGAAATCGAAGCAGCCACAGAATACTTAAACACGAGCATAATAAACGCAATCCGCCTCTCCACACGGACAAAGCCATCTAACAGCAAACAAGAATATCCGTATCACCGGAGCTGATACGAAGGAAGAGGTACTATCGTTCCGCAAAGGTTCTGTGGCACGTCTCGAACGATGTGATGAACGCGGTGTCGGTGATCCAGGTGATGATCGTCTGTGAGACGATCGGTTGTTCGACGAACGACCGCTCGACGGCCACTTGCTCGACGGCCGACCGCTTGACGACCAACCGCTCGACGACCGATCGCTGGATGATCGTACGCTTGATACCCGGGAACTGACATTGGTATGTTCCCGATGTAAGTATGTGTGGTGTCGTTGTCCACATATGTGACACGAACCAGCTGAACATTGGGTAAGAGAGTGTCCTTTGACTAGGCAATTTGTGCAGAGTGATGCCCTTTTTACAAGTTCAAAGCGTTTGGTTGCCGATTTGGAAGAACACTTAATAGAACACTTAATAGAAATGTTAAACATGCTCGATCAGCTAACAGCATTAGGAAAAGCCTTAGGTGATGAGATATCAGTAGCAGTGCTTCTTCGTAGTTTACCAGTCATGCAGTCTACAGAGAATCAGATCTCACTATGGAATTCATCAAAGGAAAGCTCATCGATGAATATAAACGGCGCAGATATTTAGGATGCACAACAGATCAAGATGAAACGGTAATGAAAGCAAATGATGGTAGTAATAGTAAGACGAAATGTTTCTTTTGTAAGAAATCCGGGCACATGCAGAAGGATTGCCGTAAATACGCCACATGGAAAACAAAGAAAAATAAAGGGAATAAGGTGATGGTGTATACATCTGATGAAGAACAGCAAGCTTTTGTGAGTACAGAATATAAGGCATCTGAGAAAATTTCCCAGGAACGTTGTCTCGAAATGAGTAATAAAAATGGAAAACGTACAGATGTATGAATCATTGCTCAGGGGCTACGAGACACATGACGGCAAGCAGAAATTGTTTCAACAGCTTCAATCCAGATGAAAAGAGTTTTGTACTTTTAGCAGACGAAGTTGAGGTAGTCCAAGTAAAAGATAAAGGATCAGACATCAAGGTACCGATAGATAAAGACACCAAGTAACGATAAAGTAATAAACATTCATGTTGACAATGTGCTGTACATACCTAGATTAAGCTCGAAGTTACTCTCGGTGAACAAATTAGCAAATGATGACTATAAAGTAAGTTTCGAGAATGACTGTTGTCGTATTATAAAAGATGGAGTAGTAAAAGTGTTTGCTAAAGCCTCAAGCAACTTATACCTACTGCCGACCATCGAAAGTGCATGTACAATTAAGGAAAAGGAACACGATGAAAGCTGCCAACATACCTGGCATAAGCGTTTCGGGCATAGAAACATAGATGCAATAAAGCAATTAGAGAACGGCCTTGTACCCGGGATAAAGACAAGGGACTGCGGCATAAGAGAAATTTGCGAGTGTTGTATGAAAGGAAAAATGACGAAAAAACCTTTCCCTAAAGAATCATTACGAGGACGAGTAATATTTTGGGTCTCATACATACGGATGTTTGTGGCCCAATTAAGACTGTAACTCCAAGTAAAAAAAGGTATATTTTAACTATGATTCACAAGAATATATCTGATGAAAACAAAAGATGGAACCACGAAATGTGTTAAAGGATTTGTACAACTAATGAAAAATCAATTAAACAAGATACCTAAAGTAATAAGATCGGATCGAAGAAAGGAATACGTCAGCAACAATCTAAGGAGTTATTTACATAATGCAGGTATAAAGATTCAATATACAGCAGGATACTCACTGCAGTAAAACGGAATGGCTGAAAGGAAGAATCGCTCATTAATAGAAATGACTAAATGTATGCTTATTGATGCCGACATGAACAGGAAGTATTGGGGTGAAGCAATACACACAGCCAACTTGCAAAATATCTTATCTACAAAACACACAGGTAAGACGCCGTATGAATCATGGTACTCTGAACTACCCGACGTCAAAAATCTTCGTTCTTTTGGTACTATGGAATATGTACATATACCTCAAGAGTGTCGAAGAAAAATAGACGAGAAAGCAGAAAAATTAAGGTTTGTCGAATATTCGGAAGAATCAAAAGCCCACAGATTACTTAACACAACTACGGATAAAGTAAGCCGTAATGTGAAACTCGTAAGGAACCCGGGACTGAAGAAATTATTCTTGAAGAACAGACATTATTCCTGAAGATACAGTAAATAAAGCTGAAGAAAACAGAGGAGATAACAATAAGGAAATTATTGAAGAAAAAGGATGAACCCAAAGACAAAGATAAGGAAAATAAAGTAACAAGTAAAGATATTCCAGATTCAGAGCCAAGGCCGGTCAATTGGCTGATTAAGACCATGTTTTAGTTTAATAGCTTGAGCGGTCTTACCTTGAAGAACTGGACGTTGATCTGGCAATTGGTTGCTATTCGATATTGTGCGGCGTGCGGTCGCGTATATGCTTAGCGAGGGAGGAGTTCCTTTCCGATGACTGCTCGTTTGGTTAGTTGATTAAGTCGATGGAATGTTAATTTCACGTGACACTGCATGGTCACTGGTAAGTGCACTTTTCAATGGCGCGTGATCCGGCTCGAAGTACCATGTATTTTCGATCTATCGCGGGGAGACGCGATCGCGAGGAAGCGCGTCAGCGGGAGTCGTAAATTCCCGTTACGATTATAAGAATCGACACCACGAACAGATCGATCGATAACACTGCGATTAACAGGTAAATAAAATTTATATTTCCAACACTTAATACACTAAAGAGTTACACCGGTACGTATGATGTAAATGCCGTAGACGAAACTTTGAAGTATGACACTCCGATAGATGAGCACTGAATGTTCTTTCGTAGTAGAGCAAGGCCCTTACAGTTGAATATAAGAAGAAGGTAACTTCCCTGATGTAGCAGAAGTAGCAACTGAACAGACTGACTTTCCGCTCTCATGCAATTGCGGAGAAAAGCTCGGTGTGGGTGTGGTTTGTTGAGCGAAGAAAGCGGATTCGTTGCTCATACTTTTCGTTAGTAAGGTGAGGGAAACGATCTGCGATGCCTATTGGTTCTAGTCAATGCTAATGAGTGATGAGAGGGGAAGGAAACCTCCTACCTGTTGCTAGTTGATGTCATTGTTTAAGGGAAAACCCGGATGTTTCCATTAGGTCAAGGCTTTCTCCGGTATTTCTAAGAGCGCATAATAAACCTAAGGACTTTTCTAAAACCATAAACCGAAAATATTTCTAGGATTAGAAAATCCTTCAGAACAAACATAATAACTGTAAAACATGTGTTGAAACAATGAAGTTAAAAAAAAGTTTTATGATGCATGGTGTATTAATTAATAAAAGTATATTATTATTATTGTTGCTATTTTCGCTTTAAAATCTAATTTAACTTTAATTTACGTTTAATATCATTATATTATCATACATAAATATCTGAATGTAATAATGAGAGGGAGGAGAAAGGTATTGTATGAAACGCAATCATATAAACCGGCCTCGACACACGCTAGGGAAAATCGCTCAAAAATTGAGTCGTCAGAAATCAACATGGAGGACAACAAAGTTCTTACGAGATAGACGGAGATAGGTGAAGTATTTCTGTCTGAGACATTCATAGCATGTCATGCATGAGCAGAACAAAAATTTTGTCTTCTATGTTGACGTTTTGGACTCAAAAAGTGGATGCTTTATGGTTTCGTCAGTATTTTCAGTATAGGAGTGTCCAGACCTGTTTGTACGACATTATACCTCCAGAGTCTTGAATACTTTCCATGCATGTATATTGTATATACATACATATATAACACACTTAAATATCTTGTATCTACATTTGTACATAAATATATCTTGTGTATCTCTTTCCACTGGTTTTGAAAAAATGCCTGAAATTAACTTAAAACTAGATTAATTTAAACGAAATTGAAAACTCTTATATAGGCCCTAATTCTATCATATCAGGAACCTAATTCTATCAAAAATCTAAAGATTTCTTCATAAATCTTACCTATCAGAAATCTAAAAGATTTTTTTTATAATTTCTGTATATATCTACAAAAATTTAAAGATCTATTTATGAAAATACTATCGATATAAAAGCAAGCATGATTACCAACACTAAAGTAATACTTTATCTTGCCAAATTCCCACCTAGCTGACTCCTGATTGGCTGGAGCGGTAAAATTGTATTACCATTACAAAAATATATTATAAAGTAAAATATACACATATGCTGTTTTTTCTCGATATTATTTAATCAAACATTAATTGAGAAATATGTATTATTTTTAACGCAATATTATTAATATTATTAATCCTAGGAACTAATTTTCTTTTTCAAGTAATTTTTATTTTTTATTTCTTTTATATTATTAAATACTTTAGCATATAACGTGGAATTATAAAACATTAAATTATTCAAATTTACTATTATTTGCAACTATATAAAAAATAATAATCACATGGTACATGTGCACAATTATAATTTATACATAGAAGATATAACAGTGTTTAAATATCTTTTAATTACAAATGTTCTAAATAATCCTGTTTTTATATTATCGGATTGTATGCGGATAAACAACATGTTTTAATTTTATTTTAAATTTACTTTTATTAATTTGGCAATTTTTTATTTTAGAATCACATTCTTCTAGTACTCACCAGAATGCATCGTGATTTGTGCGCGTGCGTAGTTGCGTTCTTTTCTCTTCATCATGGCGGTGAGTGTGGAGTCGTCGTTTTGAAAACAAATTTTATAATCTTTAAATATCAAAGACATCGTGCCTAAAAGGAAGATTGTTTATATATTACAAAGAAATCATCTTTACTAATTTAACATTGATCAATTTCTTTTTCATTAATACCTTAATCTTTTAAGTTTTATGTATGACAGTTAGGCGAGGTTTCTCAGCATGTTTGCGAGTATAACCTAAATTTGTTTTATGATGTTTATAAGATTTATAGAATAGTCGCTTATAATACTAATTCAAGAAATTAGTATAAATAGATTGAACATCTTGATATCATAATTTATTGTTATAAAACGAATCAATATTTCGAATATTTTTTACGTTTGTATTTAAAGTATACAGTATTTAAAGTGAGCAGTTTTCATTAAATGAAGCGTTTTTTTACAGGATGTAAAGAAAGTGGTAGCAAAAAAAGTGCGGAAAGAGCCAAAGGATTCATCCAAGAATGTTATGCGTGAAGTGCGCATTCGTAAACTTTGTTTAAACATCTGTGTCGGTGAATCTGGTGATAGACTCACTCGTGCTGCAAAGGTAACAATTATAGATGTTATTTGTATTTTGTTCATTTCAAATTGTTTTAACTTCTTCATGTTCTTTTATTACATCATAATTATTGACATATATATATATATGTACTATATATATATATATATATATATATATATATTTCTATATCTCTAATAATAAAAGTTGGTTTCTTAAAAATTAATCTTTTTTGTAATTAAATATAGATTAATATAAATAACGATTTTCAAATTAAGGAACACTTTTCATTTCTATTAAGATTTTTCAAATTTTTGTAGGTGTTAGAACAATTAACTGGACAGCAACCAGTTTTTTCTAAAGCAAGATATACTGTGCGTTCATTTGGCATTCGCCGTAATGAAAAAATTGCAGTACATTGTACAGTACGAGGTGCTAAAGCAGAGGAAATTCTTGAACGTGGATTGAAGGTAATTCTATCACTGATAAGAATGTTTTACATTTAATTTCTTTTTAAGTGTTCAATTTTGCTTTTCCTTTTAAAGGTACGGGAATATGAATTGAGAAAAGAAAATTTCTCTGGCACTGGAAACTTCGGTTTTGGTATTCAAGAACACATTGACTTAGGAATTAAATATGATCCCAGCATTGGTATTTATGGCTTGGATTTCTATGTTGTACTTGGACGACCAGGTTAGTTTATTACCATTTGATATTCTATGATAAATCAATATATTAAATATATGCACATCTGGCATAATAGTTACTACTATATTCAAGTTGTATCTATATTTATACAATATGTGCTAGAATATAGGCTTCGTATTTGCAACTCATGCCCACTTATAATACTGGGTGTGTTACTTAAATGAAGCTACAGTTTAGATTCATATTTCTTTGAATATTAACATTGTTATTATAATTCTATTTTGATAAATTAAGAGTAAATTGCAGAATATTTATCCTTTTACTTAATTTTAGAACTAAAAGCTGTTTGATGCTGTAGAACACTTTATTTTATAATTCATCTCTCTAACAAAATGACCTTTTTTTTTGTTCTAATCAAAAATTTAATAGAGGATATAAATCTCTGTAGATGACTTAGACATTCAGCCCTTGATCTTCAGATCTTGAGAGATATAATTGAATGCCTTAATGTCTGAATGATTAGTTTTGAATAAGTCAGTAGATTTTTTCATACCATTACCTTTATTTACAATCTATATGCATAGATTTATTTTAATTAATATAAATGATACATTAGCTTATGTATATTGTAACTGTAAAAATTAAATCAAGCTATATTACAGTATAATCAAATAAATGTTCTTTTATATACAATTTGCAATATTTTCTTCTGTTAAGGTTTCAATGTAGCTCACAGGAGGAGGAAAACTGGGAAAGTCGGTTTCCAACATAGACTTACCAAAGAAGATGCAATGAAATGGTTTCAACAGAAGTATGACGGTATTATTATAGCTGGGAAGAAGTAATATACATATTTGTATTTTACAGTTCTTTCATAAAAATTTTAAAAATAAACTATTTGTTTAATCAAATTTTATTAATACCTTCATCACATATTTTACTATCATGCTTATAAGTACATTATTTGTCTAAGAAGCATAATTTGAATGCCAGTTTTATAATATTAATGTTTTATAAAAATATTAGAAACAAAATTTTATAAATTGTATAAAGTTATTCAATTATTAATTTTATTACAAAACTTGCTTCAAATTAAGAATCGGTGATGTAGGAAGTATTATAATAAGGAAAGGTTATAATAAGTAAATACACACTAATAAATTAGAATTTTATAGACTTTATTAATGACTACTATATCGTCACCAGTGCGTTAATACATGAGTAGAATATTTTGTTACATATTCATTTTTCCATAAAGAAGATAACATAAGAATATTCCACATACAATCTACGCCATGGATAACAAAGGCATTGGTTTTAGCTTAACATTTAGTTCTTCAAATAATTACCAGATCAAATTTGTGAAAACCGTAGTAGTGATAGTATAGAATGTGAAAATACAAAAGGCCTTGTTGTATCAGTACATGATCCTATGTTTTATTTTTTATATATGTCTTATTTATTTATGCTATTTTTTTACAGAAATTATGAGTAAATAAATTAATACGGAAACTGGAACCTCATTGAATATTTTGACTTTTAAGTGAGCACATGATTAATTTTAAATTATGAGAAAGGAACTTCATATTTGTAGTTCTGCATATCTTTTAGAGCAAAGATACTACTTAGAGATGTGAACATATTATTTAAAACTAATTTTGTCACGCATTTCCCTTTCGATTTCAAATTTTATTTTTTTTTATGATACGCATGAAACATATTAGACTCTTCAATTTCAAATAATAAGGATAACTAAAGCAAAGCGTTCACACTTTTATTACAAATATATTCTAAATATATTTTTCGAAATGGAAATCAAAATCTAATATTTACCTAATCGTTATATTTTATTTTTTTATCATTTACCTTTAACATATATCTATAAAATTAAAATACTCAGGGTATTGGAAAACTATATTAATACATTAATTTAATTTTTTAAATTTGCGTAATTTAAGTAAAAAAGTTGGTAATATAAATTTTTATTGCAAGTACCTACTAAACTTAATTATGATAATAAATAATTTATTTGTAATAGTTCTAACTCAAATGATACAAAAGTGCAAACATTTCCGTATGAAACGCTTATATAACTTTTACTTTCTGGAATATATTATACTAAAACTTGTATTATTGAATGACTGACATTATTATAAACACATTAGCTTATTATATGAGAATAAGCTTATTTTCCAGTACCCTTATACCGTAATACTATTATGAAATAGTAATAAAACTTGATGCATAAGGTTAATTTTTTGGAACTCTATTACCTAATTAATATTAGGATACTTGACAGCAATATAGCAAAGCATATATGATTTTTTTTCTGTAATCTGCAATTTATGTTTAATAATTTTTTACTATTTAAATTTATCTTTGGTTTTAATCTAATGGTATATATAGTCAATCATTTCAAAACATGTGAAATAGAATTATAACAGATATATAAGAAATGTGCTTCTTTTAATATTCACATGTGACATCCATAAATAGTTACACCATTGCACTATAATACTCTCTCTTATTTACCTAACTCGACGTAATCAGACAGATAAAAAGGCAAGATATATCCCTCAGTCTCCAAATTGTTTCTTTATCTGGACGCCATATTCTTAATGATATAATTAAATATTTATATATACTATATTCTTCTTAATAACAATTAGATATATGTTGAAGAATTTAAATAATCTTGCAACATTAATTCACATTCTGTACAATTAATTCAATATAATATTTATGCCATGGTAAATTATACAAATACATAATGCTTTCTACTTTCCACAGTAGAATTGATAAATTCTTTCCCTTTACCATAGATACGTAAATATATTTAATCTTTTGCATTGGTTGTATTATTGATAAATAAAGTTAACACATCAAACATATATGTATATTACATTAAGTGTATTTTATAAAACATACATTTAATATATCAAACATGTAATAATACTGAATGTGATAGTATAATTTGTACAATATGTTACATAATGTAATGCACGTTATACGTTTATAAAAACTTTCTAATATTTTTTATGGTGAGAATTGTGATTATCAGTTATTACTATGTAATATATTAGCTAATGTATTGTCAACCAATAATTTCAAGTGCAATGCAAAGGATTAAATCATTTACTGTACTCTATACTTCATACATTTATACATATATGTATATACATTTTATATCACTTTTCATTTTTAATACATGTTTATCTGAGTCAATTAAATATCAAACTAATAACACTAAATAGAAGAATTACTCTTGATAACTTATGTTATAAGCATTATAACATATGTTAAGCACTTTACACAATGTTACTATATTTTTTGACATGTTTTATTTTTAAAACATACCAAACAAATATTTTCATAATAATTTATACATTTAAAATAAATATTTATCATTTATTACTCATTTTCAATATTCAGAAAATTTGTAAACATATGTTTATGTCAGTGTAACAATTTTAATGACTGAATTAGTCAAATTGAAGATCTACATACAATAAGTTAATTCTAAATTTAGAAGAACATAATTCAAAATCTATCTCCTTTTTGTTGTAGAAAATAATTTAGTAAGTTACATTTATATAAAATGTAAAGTTTTGTTATTTAAAACGTAATTAGAGAAAGGAAGAGAGAGAGAGAATTTTTGCAATTGCTATATATTGAATAAAGATATGTTAAAGTATTTATGTGTAAATTATTTTAGTCATAATATAATAAAAACAAATTTATATGCAGAAATATAATAAATATCAAATTGTTTAGTGTTAAGTGATACTCACTATATGTTCATGAAATTGTATTCCATTGAACCTTCATATTACATAAAATTAGAAAGTCACAGAACATGATGTAAAAAAATATTCTTATCATTGTAAGTTATCATTTCCTGGATATAGCAAGTAATAATTCTCCATATTATCAATCTAAGAAATTTATAATACAGTTAACTGTAAAATGATTTATGTGAAATAAATAAAATCGGTGAAGGTAACTGAATAATGACTTTCTTATTGGTTACACGAATTAATTTGAAAAGAAAGAAAAGAAAAAATGAGTAAAATACATGATATGAATGTTTTATACCGGATTTCAGGTAAAATAAAATTTCACGTCATCAGTTATAAAAATATATAAGGTCACGAACAAAAGTATTGGTACAGCCTTTAAAGCAAAATAACTTTTTTAAAATTGAACCAATCGACTTAATTTAGGGAAGTTAGAAGGTTGATCGACGGTTGGTCGAAATCACGAAGCAAATAGTAAAGGTCATTTTTTACAACTTTCTTATCTGAGCCAGTAATAAAAATTTAAAAAGTATACTTTGTTGATTTATGTTAGTTATATATATGATGAAAATTACGTTGCTATAAGCTATAAAGGTTAAAAATGATGAAACTCACAGTTTTCGTAACGATAATAAATCTAAATTTTTGTTCACCTTTCGATATCTGTTGTTTGTTTTTGCATCGACCGATTTCGATAAAATTTTTAGCAAGTATATAGCTGACATAACTCTTTAAAATGTGCTGTTAAAATTTTTATTACAGGCCCAGATAAAGAAGTCGTAAAAATGACCTTTACTTATTCCGACCAATTGTCGACTAACCTTTTAACATCTTTAGAAAAATCAAATCATTTGATCCAATTTAAAAAGATGTATACTGTTTTAAACAGTATGCCAATATTTTTGTTCGTGACTGTATAACGATATTATATGCTATTTTACTAATGCAAGTATATAACTCATAGTTTATGTAGACTGATTTCAAACAAAATGTAAGTCAAAGATAATTCATACCTGTTTACATATTTTTCAGTTGGCATTTTCTAAGAATAAAGGAATTGTCCGGAAATCCTAGATCTGTATGCATTAAAATTTAATAATTAAAATGTTGTAAATATTACTTTCTTATTGATCGATATATTTTATCAATATTGTGCTTTTCAACTTCTGTGAATCCTAGAATGCTTTCAATTGCGTTCAGATGCCCATGATGATTTTCTTTATCCGTTAAGAAATAGTAAATCGCCGATTTTAGGAACTGCAATGTGATCTCTGGATCAAGGGCACCTTGATTATTTCGCGCTTCTATGATACGTCGATACATTGCCTGTTGAAAAAATTATATTTGCTAATAATATTTTTAATAACTTTTTCTTTACAGATTAACTTATGTGCTGTTTGAAATTTGATACATTCCTTGGTTGTGTACTGTAAATATTAGATTCAGATATGGTGTCAAATGAATGAAAAATGAGCGATTAAATATATATATATATAACAGAAATGTAAGTTATTGAAAGCTATAAATACACATTGAATGAAAAACTATATTAAAATATATATATGTATGTAGACATGTATATACATGTGTATTATGTAAAGTTGCCTTTTTTTCAGGATCTGACATGATTATAGTGATGTGATTTGTATGAAATGGTACAAGCATGTGATGCTTAAGCACGTGCAAACTTACATTAACTGAAGGATAATAAGAGGCTGTTTCTTTCAAGTGCACAAAATAATCTGTATTGACCTAATAATACTGCATAATAACAGGAACCACCTACATTTGTGCTTAACAATAACAATTCGCATGCAATCGCTGTGGCGAAGCATTTCAATTGTAAATACATTCTCTCATAAATATAAGTTCCTAATATGTATAACTTACAAATGAAAGCACGTGAAACCAATTCTTGCCACTATTATAGTTTAAAAGCTAATAAGCTTTTGTTTTTAATAATTATCAAAATGATAAAATCTCTTTACAAATTCAGAATAATTTCTACTTTTTATTTATATTTTTTATAAGTTTTTTTTCTGTAAGCAAAAAGCAGGTACCTATAAATGTTGGTTATTATATGGCTAAGCTATTTTTAATAAACAATATGATTGTTGATTATATATAAAAGTTATTATGAAAAAAAAATACTTAATATATTGATTAAAATTGATATTGGTATTATATAAGTTTCTGTTATATGTAACTGACATACTAATTGCATTTAATACAACTATGAATTATATGCTACTTTTTTAGAAAAATAAAAATATATGCATTCATATAAACTATTTAACATTATGCTTACACATTTATTTTATATTTAATTTCATGCTTGTGGAATTTAGGATATATATACAGGTTGATAAAAAAATTGTTCAAGATGTAATAAAATAAATTATGTATAAAAATAAATTGAAACACGATATATACAAATATATAAAAAAATCTTTTTGGGTATACATGTTCTGAACAATAATTATGTGGTTTTACTACAAAATTAATGATAATAATCAGGATGACATTAACAATAATATTAGAACAAAATATAAAGTAGAAATGACTAAATAACAGTGAAAGGTTTATTCAAGTAGTAAAATTTGCAAAATTAACAATTTTATTTTGTTCCTTGCTAAGGAGAGAAATGCAGATATTCTACTAATAAACATTTGATATTATAAGAATCCATCATTTTGCAAAAAAACCTCAAAAGGGCAAAAATAAAAAAGAAAGAAATATTCGTTTGTTTGTGCATTTGTACGTGAACAAATACAACATAAATGCTTAAAAAACAGTGGATGAGAATTGCATCACGTGGCGATTCAGCAAAAATACAGACCTTACGTGTGCCAAGGACCCAGAGAGAAACAGCCTCCTGAGCACTTAATAAACTTTGGCTACGATCGGCTGAAATGTGAGGTTCAGGCGAGTAGCTTGTGTCCTGGAGTGTGAGCGGCGACCAAAAAAAGTGGTACATCATTAGTACAAGAGAATTGTGAATGACAGAGATGCACAGAAAGTGATGCGCAAACAACACTGATTCCTAAATTGTATCTTTTTTATTTATATTGAATTATTATGCATTATTTAAAAGTATTAAAAAGTTGTAATTTTTTAAAACTCTCTATGAACGGATTTCAAACTTATGTAGACAGTGTGAAAAATATAAAATAATAAATGGTACTGTATACAATTTTAAATTGTTGTTGTACTACAAAGAAGTATAAAATATCCTATTGAAATGTTTTTAGAGTTTATATGTGAAAAAGATAGTTAAAATAATTAAATAATGCTGATTGTGAGTGCAACAAGAAAAAGAAATTGATAAAATCAACAAATAAATGATATCAGTAAACAATATATGTTTAAAATATTTTAAATCCGATAATACAGATGTTTCAAATTCAAAATTCAAAATTATCTTTTATATTATAAATAATAACTATGTTAAATATTGCTTGTTGTTATAAATACATTGTTACCATATTAATAGTATAATTTAGTGTTATTATACAAGTTATAACAAATTTTAATATGTGTTAAAATGAAGTTCATGCTACATATTTTATATAGCAATAAAGATAAAGCTTTAATTATAAATGACGTCAGGCATAAAGAATTTTATTCTTTCACTTTTAATGTGCACTGTGTATATTACTATCATAAGTATTAACTATATATAAGGCGATCCTTTTACTAGTTAACTCAAAGACGGCACCAACAATCACATCACGGCGGTACATCGTGTCATACGTATATATGTATGTTATACGTATATATATAATGTACAAATGTACATACATATATTAGAAGCCAATATCGTCTCTATGTCAAAGTAGACACGGCTGTATAGCTGTGTATACATGTAATTGTAAAGTGAAAACAGGAATGTATGATGTGCGATGTGATCGGCGGTGCTTTTGAGTTAACTAGTGAGAGGAACTCCCTGCATGAAAGTAAACATCGTAACTAAAGCAAAAACATTTACCTTGATATTTTCTAATTCTGCTTGTGTAATTGTTAATTGTTGAAGCAGCTCTGCAACAGTAACCTTTGGTGGTGTTTGATGCGCATGTTCATATATCTGTAATAAATATCAACTTTTAGTTTTTACTTATGCGTTTAAAAAATACTAAAAATAGTAAACATAAAATACTAAAAAATACTAAAAAAGTTAAAAGCATTAAAACTTTGTATCGAGATATTGAATATTACAGACATTGTTTTGTTATCTTTTAAAAAAATAATACAGTTAATATATTATGAAATTTTGTTTCATGTTTATAGATTCAATGTAATGATCAACGTGCAACGCACCTGATCAGCTTGTTCTAGGCGTGCAGCTTCCTGTCCTTTGGCATACATTCTCAGGTACATTTGTTTATTTCTTTCTTCTTGCTCGTTTAACAAAGCCTTTTGTTCAGAAAGTTCCGTTTTCACGGTTTCTAATTCTGCTTCTAATTCACGAGCACGAGCTTCTGCAGCATCAACAGAAGGCCTCACTTCGCAGTAACGTGTATTAACTTCAGCCAATTGATTCAATAAACTTTCCACCTGTAATATAAAGCAATTCATTATGCCAATTTTTAAAATACATATTGTATTAATGTATGTTGTTTGTTAATGCATTCTTACGTAAACAATACTGTAATTCTGGCATTTTACTTATCATGTAACATTAAGACTAATAAATTTCTAATTTAGAAGTCTACTTAGAATTTTTGCTTTTAGAAAACATTTATTATTTTATATCATAAAATAAAAAGTTTCATATTAAGATATCGGTGGTGCTTAAGTAAAAAGAAATTAAATTAAATTAATATTTGTGTATTTAAATAATCAATAATTTTCCAAATATTTAGCGATACTATAGGATCTGCACTGACCGAATTTCTCAGTGCTGTGTTCATGTAAAGCGGGCAATAAAACACGAAGGTGTTATCTCATTGCACCAAATTAATGGTATTGTGAATCAATACGTATACAAAGATGTTTTGCAACGTCTTTTATATGACGTTAAAGATATGTTATATATTAAAAAATTTGCGATTATTGATTTAGTTATGATCTTTACTATACATAAAAGTATAAAACCATTATCATTACTGTTCTACATTTTATTAACCGTTCTATGTTCTTATAAACTAGTCTTCTTTGACTAAACTAGACCAAATACGAATCTTTCATTTTGTTCATTTTTTATTCAATTATAAATATTCAACGACTATTTTATTTGAGATATATACCTTGTCGTTGTGTTTTTGCTTGAGTTCTTGAAGTTCATCAACATGTCTACGATGCATTTCTTCAATTCTACTTTCATAAAGATTCACCAACTTGCGTCTCACTTCATCTCTTTCTGGTATTTCTGCAGCGGATCTTACAAACGTATCGGAAGTACTATTTTCGGGAACTGTATTAGGCGTTGCAGTAACATGTGTACTTTCTGGTTGCACCTCTGGTATATATACAGAATCCTTCGAATGGACGGATCCGTCTTCAAAGTGACCCGAGTCCGCAAGAGAGGAAGGTAGATCAGAGGGGGCACATTTTTCTGGAGTTTCTGGACTTGCGACCTTTTGTAGTGTACCTTCGTCCGGTAAATCCTTGCTTGGCGATTCAGGTGAAAAAGGATTGTTCTCTCGTACAGTGAGAGCATCGCTACTATCCGTTCTTTCATCGGGGCTATTCAGAGAAGCTTTGTATAATCTTAATTCCACTACTTCCTTCGTTAGTCGAAATATCTCCTGGTCTTTCTCTTCAATCTCCTTCCGCGCTTCTTTTAACAAAGCCTGAATAATATGATTTTTATAATGACTTACATTATTCAAAATAGATGTTCTTGTTCTTATTACGATGATAAATGATACGGCGAAGGTGCTATACGCACCATATTATTAATATTACGAGGTGACATTTATTTTATTTATTTAACCAAAAGGTAAAAATACTCGAATACCATGATAAAGTATAAAAAGACACCTTTTTTTAGCTTAGCAACTTACATATCGAATTACATATCGGTACATATTGATATATGTATTAAGAACATATTGACCGTCTCCACGAAGTACTTAAAATGTTAATTAAACTGTTAAAATGAAAAAAATTACAAATAACATGCAGAACGTATCTAATTTCATAGAAGCATTATATTTTTTGCATAGAAAATTTCTCGTAATATTTTGTTATATTTTATAGTCAAACTCATCAAATATATTTGATAGAAGTTTAAGAGAAATTTACAAGAAATATGAAGCGAGTTCATGTCTTAACTAGAGGCTCTAGACGCGTTACATTCTCTTACCGTCTGCGGTTTGAGACTGATATCATTACGAATGGTTTAATTATCGTAATAAAGTGTTAAGTAAAAATTCCAACGAAGAACATTGCAAAAAAAGAGAAACAATGTTGGTTTTTACCTGAAATTTTCTAACTTGTCTAGCTGCTCTTTGAGTAGGCGTAAGGTATTGTTCATTGTCCCCGGTATGGTTTGAACAATGAACAACGTATTTTCGTGATCTACCCGACCACGTGGTACCGTTGAGAGCAAACGTAGCATGGTCACAGGCGCTTGCGGTACTGCAGGCACTTCCGTAACTTTTTACGCTTTCTGCATCGCTGTCATCGGCAATTCCAGTGCTTGATCCTCCGGAGGCCGCGTGTCCAGGTCGCGGCCTCGCCGGGGTCAATGAAAGGCTCTGCAGAGTAAAAAGAAACGAGACGATAGTTTCGTTAATTTCGTGTAATTTAACCCCTTAAGGCCCACTTTTATTAAAACCGAACCTCCGTAATATTACATAGTTGTTGTATTCTATACATTCAATCTACTAGAAAAAAGCGAAAGTCTCTCCCGAAAAATAGATCTTGGTATAATTTTATAAATTTTATTTATGTAATAAAGTTCGTCCTTAAAGGGTTAATTTTTTCGTCAGAATTATTATCTCATATTACTCTGGTCATTTTATAAATAATTTCGTTACTATCTGTTGGATTAATTGAAAGCATAAGCATTATATCAAAGAACGTTACCTTATCGGAACTTAAATCATGCGAACCAGGTTAAGTCAACTACACAAAATGTATTTTCTTACGAACGATAAGTTACAAATCCCTTAGGATTATTGTTTTCTTTTTATATTTATGATTTACAAGATTATATCCATCTTGACTAGTGTTTCTTCAATATAGTATTTCTTCGTAGCTAAAATTCTATTTTTTCTTCATATTACGCTGTATTAAATAAGAAAAGGAACGCTAGAAAGGAATTAT